TGGTTGTAGGTTATAACTCAGTAGAGGGTATAAATCATGGTGTTGTGAGTTCAGAGCTTTTGTGCGAGAATCTTGACGTTCTTTAATTATGAGCATATCTAATATTTCATTTGAATATTTACAAAATGGTGATTTGTCATGTGTTTCTTTTTTGTTTTTACAATAACAAAAGAAATTTAAACAATATCGACAGTTGTAAACGTTACAGGATATGCCTACTGCAAGCCATTATAAATGTCTGACATGTTAGACACACCGTCATATCCTTGACCTCTCAAAAATGTTGAATCCAAACCCAACCTGATTATTGTGTTTGTTATGGGCCTCGAGCCCCCAGCGTACGTCCCTGTAATATACTTATTTTTCCTGTGTATAGATTTCCGTCCGATTTTAGTAAATGGTGAACCAAACACCTAATATTTGTCCAATTGAAACGAAATTTAACACAGCATTTTGAATTGAGTATAGAATAACAATGTTTAAAAATAATTTAAATGGAAGCAGCAGCCATCTGGGTCTAAGCTTCCTACCCCACTTGCAGCCATCTTGGTCTAAGCTTCCCACCCACTCGCATTTATGATCCCAAATAAATAAAATTTGGCATAGCTCACTTATTTGGTCCAAGCACAAACCCTATCCGTGCAGAGTTTTCTTATATATTTTCGTTCGATTTTATGGAGATGGTGCACCAAACTCCCAGGCTTTGGTGCCGATTGAGACGAAATTCAGCATAGCATATTGCGATTATCATAGAATAAGGGATGTTAAGTTTCATTGAAAACGGATTAAATATAGCTCGCATATACCAAAAAATTGAAAATGGCATTCACAGTTAATTGTACATGTACGTACGCTTTGAGACGATTAGAAATTCTTAAAATCATGAGAAAACCACTATTTTTCCATTTCATTAATATCACAACTATTTTCCTACTTTGATTTCCGACTTTCCACTCACTCTTACCGAACTCTTACGATACGTACAGCAAGCCCAACCTAATGTTTAACATTGTATATGATTGAAGCAGAACAAATAAGTAAATAAGAAGCAACGGGACAAGAAGACGTTTTGGGCAGAGTAGCTGCTATATATTTTCGTTCGATGCTATGTCTATAGTCTTCCAAAAAATAATACGTTTGCTCTATCGACATGATAGTATGTAGGAACATCTCTGTATTGATTCAAAGTGAAGAAGGGTATAATTTAGTCGGTCCCGTCTGACTTTTGAACTTTCCTTACTGGTTATAAAATGATCTGATTTTGCAGTAACGGAATAATATAATTAACAAATATATTTCATATTATCTTGTATAGAAATCGGCATTTATTAATCAAACAAATATAAGTATTGCTTCAATTAGTATTAAATGAAAAAGAGCATCATAAAAGGAAAACCTAAACAACATACTCCCTAAATAAAACTCAGCATTAAATTAATTAAACTTAAATTCTCCAGACGAAATACAGTTTGAACATATCCTGTAATCTTCAGGAAGCTCCTTCACCAAATAACGCCACTTAACACATACTAACCTTTAGCATGCTTCTATCATGTGCACTGTGCAAGAACACTACAAAAGTAGAATACTACCGGTTGGCTTTTGTTCTGTATTTTATTCGTTGCTTGGAAATTAATTTGAATTTTAAATAAGCAAAGAGAATTCTGCTGTTTTTTCATCATCTTCCTCTTCTCTATTATATACTACTGTCCAGCGAGAATGTCTCCTTCCGCATAAGGAATGTACGTACAATGATATCCCTCCCTAACTAGTATGCTTACACGAACACATATGCATGTACCCCTAGAGTAGTGTACTCTGTTTTGAATTGCTTTTAAGCAGTTAATATTGGGGTGGAAAGAGAAATAATAAAAAAAATGTCTAGATATAAAGGTAGTGTATTAAAAGAGGAAATTTAAACCGCTAATATTAGATTTGAAGATTTTTGGGGCTTACTTTGAAGATAAATCAAAATTCATTTTTTGACAATATTATGTTTTTTGACAATATTATGTTCCTAGCACTTTGATCAATGTTGATGTCAGGTCCACAACTTAGTATACCAATTAATTTTTAAGGTAATGGAACTGATATTACGTTTCAACCAATAGATCAAGCTGTTCATTTAATTTTGTGCGATTCTGCTATACGGTAGAGAAACCAGGCGCAAAAGAACCATATTCAGAATATTCTACCCCAGCACAATAAGTAACGTAGAGCTGTGAAACCTAACAAACCAGAACGCCATACAAATACAGATTAAACGTAGTAAATGGAGATAGATTTGCCACACCTTCAGAAAAAATGTCGATAGCTGAAATAGAATAGCGCTTGTAAGCAATCTATACTATTACAAAAAAACCTTACATGGAAAATAAAAATATCATCGACATCAAAACAGAAAGATTGCCATGCTTTGTTGAAGCAATTCCAAATAATTTGTTTAAAGGTCAGAACCTTTATATGGAGACTATGTCTTTTTAAATTTTAGTATGTTGTTTATTTGAAAAAAAAAACTCTCAGGATGGAAAACTGGCTATGAACTGTATTGTATGTGATCCAAATAAAGAAACATGGTAATAGATTGAAAACCTTTTGAATTGAAGAATTCACGAGAATCCAGAATGCTAAATTAGAGCTCCTTTGGCGAGAAAATTCGGCTAATTCTTTCAAAATACCGAAAATGTTACTGGAACTTTATGTGTGGCAGCTTTGTCATTGGGGTACCTTCGCAATGACGTTTTCCACATGAAGCTTTTATTGCAATTCACTAGCTTTCACAAAAATAAATAAATTCATATATATATATATATAAATATTTAACTAATATTTCAGATCAGAATAAAATTCTATGAAATCACGGTAGGGCTCTGAACTTTTGCATAGTCCTAGAATGTTTGGTATTGCAAATGGGATATATAGGTCTACGTTTTGATGTACCCCCATATAACGGTACCCCCCAATATTCGGTATTTTTTGGAATTTGAGCACGATTTCCAATCGAATTGTCTGTAATTTGGTATTTTGGGTATTTTGGTATTCATTGTATAGCACATCTCCGTACCAAAAATTATTAATATTGACCCAAGTTTCAGGTAGCCACATGAACATGTTTTCCAAACACATTGACTATAATTTGGTACTTTGGTTTCGCATTTAATAACACATATCCGCACCAACCTTCAGGGTATCCCCATATAATGGGGATACCAATGCCAATATTTGGCATTTTAGGAATTACGGGTACGTTTTTCCACCGAATTGGCTGTTATTTTGGTATTTTAGGTTCTCATTGAATAACACATATCCGTACTAAAACTTATTAATATTGACCAAAGTTTCTGGGTAACCCCCATATAACGGTACCCCAAGTATTCGGTATTTTGAAATGTGTATATCACATTTCCGTAATAAAAATGTTTAATAATTACCCACGTCCCCTACCAATATGGAGAATTTTGACATTTTTTTCAATCAAATTGGCTATAATTAATTATTGGAGGATACAAAATGTTCGCCGGACCGTTTTTACTTGTTATAATTAACTTTCAGAGGACAATAACCAGCCATACAAATTTTATATATGTTGAATAAGTACTGAGGTGCCGAAGCTGCCCCAGTCTACCTATTTGGTATGGAAATTCGGCTAAAATTTTCAAAACACCGAAAAAGGAAAGGGAACTTTTTCTGGAGGCTGTGTAAAAACATAAGCCCATACCAACCTTTTTCGGCAAAAGTGCTTTTTAACCATTTAAGAACATGAAATGACTTCAAAATATTATATATCGGAGCTATGTCATAACTTTGTCTTATATAGACGACTTTTCCGCAAAAATTTGTTTTACCCTCCATAAAGCCAAAATGGATTGTGACCTTCACACGAATGTTATATATAGCTATAGTGATAATTTTGTGCATAGATGTATGTCAGCCTCCAAAAATACCTGAAATGTTTGAAATACCGGAAATTGGGAGCCTAACCCTAAACATGGATTAACATTTTTATTAACAAGATATTAACAAGAAAATGTAAACTAACGTTATATGCGGGCTTCCACGAAAGTTTGACCAATAATAATGAATATTGGTAGAAATATTTGCTCCCCAACGAGAATCCATTTTATAGCCAATTCCTAAGTACCGAATATAGGGGGTATCATTATATGGGGGCTTTACCAAAACGTGTTTCGGTCTTCTAAGTCATTTGAAATACCAAACATCTAAGAGTAGCAATGTGTGTGTAAACCTTCAAACTCTATTTTAAACATTGTGAACTCTGTCGTGATTTTAACAGGCAGTCGCGCCTGGCCAAATCGACATAGAATTTGATATGCGATTCGTTCAACAACAAAAAAGCAATCTATGCATAATTTATGAAAAGAAATTTTATATGTATGCCACTAATATATTTATTCCACCCTATTACATTAAGCAAAATGTATAATTCCTTTCTATTGGTATCCTTCAGTTTGTAAAATTGCTATTTTGCATATCTAAACACAGAACACATTCAAAGTCATTTGAAAATTGGAGAGAGTTCAGTGTTTCTGTTTCTTTTTTCTCCTTTTTTTGTTTTTTGAATTACTTGTTTTAATTTTATTTTCTCTTTTCGTTGGTCATCTGGTTTCGTTGGTTTGGTGTTTTTGTTTAGCTGGCTTTAGTTTCCGTTTCCGCTTAAAATAAGTTCTTACAACTGCTAAAGTGGCTGTTTGTTGCAATGGGCAGCAAAATGACACTTCGGTATCTGAAATTGAATAGCTACTATACAGACTGTGTTTATTTTTTCTTTTGTATGTTTGCCTTCATTATATTGCTAAACACATTTAAAAGTCAATTAGATAATTAGAGATTAAGGATATTAGCTATTTGCTCAAAAATATACACATGGACATACATCTATTTGCTCATTCAAGATTTGGTTCCCATTTTTTCCGTTGGTGTTTGCATTTAATTTTTTGTTTAACCTCGCAGTATATCTGTATGTTTGTTCTTTTTTCCAGACAATGCCGCCAAATGCAATGAAGGACAATTCCGATGTAAGGCAAGTCATAAATGCATACCCAACAATTGGGTATGCGATGGCGAATTTGATTGTGGCGATTTGGATACATCCGATGAAATTAATTGTAAGTTCGTAATATGACTGCTGTGTGAGTTGAATAGCAATCCGACGTACCCATACAAATTCTTCCAAGCATAGTGACCCAAAGTGTCAAACATATTAACTGACTGATTGGCTAGTTTGTGGAAAAGTGTGAAGTGACTGGCTGGAACGACTTGTTGGTGGGAATGGACGCTATAAACCAAAACTCTTTGCCGTTATCCATTGTTTTATTGTGCGCTTTTATATGTTTTTTTTTCTTGCTTTTTTATTATTTCAGGTCCTTCGGATTCTTTAAAGTGCCTTTCATATCAAAGAGAATGCGGCAATGGCGTTTGTCTGGATATATCAAAGTTCTGTGATGGCAATTGGGATTGTGATAACGATGAACTTAAATGCGGTATGTATATAGCGTTGATAGCGTATAAACTTTGTTTTTCTTTTGTCTATATATGTGCGCTCACACACACACACGTACATACATTTCCCACAGATATATGTTCAATACTCTTTTGCATACTATTTGCTTCGAAAAATATGCAATATTTTTCCACCATCCCTTGAGGCAATGGTGGTGCAACAAACTTTTGGCGGAAACGTAACAATAATATGGAATACAAATGTGAAAATTTTCCACACCGCGAAGTATATCCATATGTTAAAAATTCGTAGTTATATTTATTCTTCTCATTTTTGCTGAAAAGAATGAATGTTTTGTCCGTTGGCAGTATTTTTTACGACAAGGTATACTTGCAACAAATCGATAAAGGACGATGATGCAGTAGTTGTTTTCTAGTAAATTGCACCGTGAACTTTATGATTGGTAATTGATCATTTTAAAATCCGAAATACGGGGGATATAGTTATGTGGGACCTACCCCGAAACTTCAATATTTTTGGTATTAATGTTTTTAACTGATGAGAATCTTAATTAATGCCAATTTGGTTGAAAACTTCCCAAAATAGCAAAATTTTTTATTATATGGGGGCTAACATAAAAAATAGTCCAATATTAATAATTTTTGGTAGAAATATATGCTGCCTCCTGAGAACCTAATATATGTTGTTACGGCCAATTCGGATGAAAAACGTTCCCAAAATACCGAGTATTAAACTTTTCATTATATGTGGTCAATTTTCAGTGGTAAAAATTTATGTGATCTATCTTAACATTGGAAGTTCCATCGTGATTTCAATAGTGGGACATTAATATATTTCGAAGTGTTACAAACAGACTGACAAGTTATATTTGTATGGTATTTTTTGTGGGGGCTATGACAAAACATAAATCCATACCAACATTTTCGGCAAAAATATTTTTCACCTTTCAAGAAGACAGAATACCTTCAAAATAGTCAACTTTTCCGCAAAAATTCGTTTTACCCCCCAAGAACCCAGAATGCCGAATTACATTCACATAATTACTAAAATGCGCCTGAAAATGAAAATACCGAAAATGGATCGTGACCTTTACATGGAGACTATGTTAATATGGACTTATAGTTATAATTTTCTGTGTAAGTATTTGCAGCCTCCAAATACACAGAATCCCAAAGCCTCTTTGGTGGGGAAAATGCAGCTGAAATGTTTAAAATACCGAAAATATTCAGGGATCTTTATATGAAGGCTATGTCGAAATATATGCTAATATTATTTAGGGTCAAGTATTTTATCCTTCGAAATGCCTCCTTCTAGCCATGTCACTTGAAATGTTATTTAAACACCTTCATCAAAGTGGACTTTTATATTTTGTCAAAATATGGACCTATATTAAATTTTTTTTGCAAAGAAATTGTAAATACACGAAAAACACGGAACGATAAATTACCGTCACTTCTGTTGAAAAATGAGTCTAGGACCGTTAACATAGATAACATTTTATACACTCCTCCAATATGTATGACAATCCTGATATATAAATCTAATGTGGCCTGTAAGGAAAAAGTCATCTTATGATAGGACCTTAATAATAATTTTTGTAGTGAGATTCGACAGTCAATGAGAATACAAAATACCAACTTATTCGTTTGGAAAAAGTGTCCAAAATCCCCAAAATACCGAATATTGAGGGGTACCGTTATATGCGTAAATCGGCATAGAATTTTATTATGATCAATAATATATTAGGTTGGGGAAAAGGAAATCCATTATTTTTATATGAAGTATATGTCTTTACTTAATATGCTTCGGAATATCCGATTTGTCCAAATATGTACCGTTTTGTTGTATGATTTGTTGCCATTTTAAAGGTGACTTCATAATGCCTCTCTCTCTCGTAGAAGTCCTGCTCTCTATTTGGAAAAAAAACTCCAGTAGTCGATTTTCACAATCCTCCCTGAAATTTCTGGCGAGTCACTGTAGATGTGTGTGGCCTAGCGTTGGCCTGGTGGAACATGACAGCTCTCCTGTTGTCCAATTCTGGTCAAAGCTATCTTTAAACGGCCCAGTTGTTGACAGTAGAAATCCGAATATAGCGTTTGGCCATATGGAAGCAACGCATAATAAATAATCCGCTTCCAGTTCCACCAAATACATAACAGAACCTTTCTGGCCGTTAGTCCTTTTTGATTCCAGCTTTGTGTAAATGGTTTAAAACAGTTTTATGGTCGATTTTTAGCTCTTGGGCGATGTTACGACTGTTAACATGCCGCTCAACTTCGATCGTTTCTCCGATTTTATCGACAATTTCGACGACCGGCCCAATGGATTTCTTTTTCCTTAACCTAATATATACTTTATGGGGTCTCCGGTGAATATTTCGAGGTGTTGCAAACGGAATGCCAAATTTAATTATTATTATAGTATACACTCCACCCTAATATACACCGCTTTATGGTGGAAGGTACTCTTATTTGACAATTTTCATGGAGAAGTATTTTCTTTACCTATAATCTGGAAAGTCATACCATTGGCGAGACCTTTATATAAGGGGGTTAGTCAAAACAAAATCCTAAAACGTCAAATTAGAACCTTTTCGGTTGGAAAATAATAATACGAAAATTGGGCGGACTGTTATATCGGAGCTGTACCAACTTAATTTGTAATACCAAACGTGGCTAATGATGGAGTCTATAAATATCGAAGAATTTGTAGATCAGAATCGTCCAATATATATATATATATATATATTGATGACAAGGTAGAATTTGTTTAGTGGACTTCCTCAAAGATGGGTCAACGAAACATGGATTGTGTTCACTATATATGATATTGAACTTCAGGTGACATTTTATTCTTCAGACATCTCTCCTTATGATATTCCGATCGTATAATCGCCAACAATGAGTTTTTCTGATTGTCCACAATGCGTTTTATTAAATGTAAATTCGCCAGAGTTGCATATGTTTTGACTCCGCTGAAATCGAGTTATCCATTTTATCAATAAAATTTACAGGAAAATACCAACAATTTCTGGGTTGACCTCTTTTTTAACTTCAAATAAAGAGATTACTACAAAATTTTCACATATGTTGCATATGTTTTGACCACCACTGTATATATATTATGTTTTGTATTTTTTCCCAAAATTTCTTCATTCTTTATAAATCTATATCAAGTGTAATTGTAGGTGTGAAATTTCTTCAATTTCAAAATATAGTACTATCACAATTTAGTTTCCAGTTTTTTACACCCAAAAAAATTGTATAACGCACATTTTTTTATGCTACCGGATATCGCAGTAGCTAACAGCAGTATATGTTTCTGTATCATAAACACTATAACTTTATTTCCATTCCACAATCAAAAAAGAAAACGTTGTTATTATTACTAAATGTCTATATGTGTGTGTAGAGCGTATGTTTTTTGTCGTTGTTGTTGTTGCTGTTCTTTTTATATAACTCTCATTGCCTGTTTACATTTCAACCATCATCCACATCTTCCATTCACACAGATAAACAAGACGCCGAATGCAGTACCTTAAAATGTTCATTCAACTGCAAGCTGACACCCCAGGGCCCAACATGTTATTGTGCGCCAGGACAAATGCCTGTCAATAATACGCAATGCATGGACTTCGACGAATGCACTATTGAGGGCATATGCGATCATCAGTGTCATAATACACCCGGCTCCTATGAATGTTCCTGTGCGCCGGGATATAGCAAGCAAAGAAATCGCTGTTACGCCATTAACGGTAAGTTCCGTTTTGTATGAAATTCCTGTTCTTGTTTTGTTACAAAAGGGGGTTTTGTTATTTTTTCTGGAATTGTTGATGCATAAAGTCGTATATATGTACAGCATTTCCTATGTGATTGTAGCTTTGAAAGCAGATTATATACTTTTGGAATGTCTTTGGTTTTTTGATACACAAATATGAGTAGAGTCAATGACATATTGAAGGGCAATTTGGACGATTTTTTATATAATCAATATTTATAAAATAAATGAAAATATATATATATATATATATATATATATATAATATCAACATATAAGCAAGTACTGCATTGAAAACATATAGTTGTGTCGATGGACGGGTAACATCGGCGGCTGCTCATGAGGATGGTCCACTGTAGTCATGAGAAAACACCCTGTTGCAGCGCCCCATGTGCTGCCAGCTAGTGACTTGAGGCATTGTTCCTACTTCTCAGCTTACCTTATAAAGCATTAGCTTGCGCAGAGGACTTGAAAAAGCTATCGAACAGGGAGTATCCCTGTTTTATCCACCCTGTTTTAATCCACACACTGTCGGAGATTTGTCTTCTCTATATCCTCGAAAAGCTTGGCATGGTTGATGGTATCGAAGGCCTTCGATAGGTCAAGTACCACCATAAATGTTCAGTTCGCTTCAAGTGTCTTTGCTACTGGAGGTAGGAGTGAATTGGGCCTGTACAATTCATCACTGCTGGCATCCTTGCCAGGCTTCATTAGCGGGACCAATTTTCCTGGCTTCAGGAACTATGTGGGTGGTTAACGACTCAGCTCGGAGTCCCCTTATGCGACGTAGTACACTTCTTTTGGCCCTGTCACTCTCAGGGTGCTCAATGAATTGCCGGTTAAAATAACACGCACCGCACCTTTGACCACAATTTACTTGTTCCGTTGACAATGTTGCATTGCATTATTTGTGCGACACGCAACATCGTTAAGGTTTAAGTAAGCATTGCGCATACCATCAAACTCAAATCATAATTTTTAATCAAATCACCAGAAACTTTTGATTGTCGATTTTGACATCCAAAATAATACTTACCACCCCAGATGACTTTTCGACGAAATTATTGATTAACAAATACAAAGCTTTACGTTTTGTGCGACGAACACGGATTTCATTTTTTTTCATCACTAAGGTTTCAAAATTTTTTAGTGAATTTTATAATTTGCAATGCGTTGTTGGAGCTTTTATCTTCCTATTGTCAAAAGTGTACTTTCTACTTGTCAGTTATCGAAAAATAAAGGTTTCAAATCTAATATCAGGTAATTGAAAACAATACCTTTTGTTGAAAACCCCTTTTTATTTTTTTAGAATCAATGAGTAATAACATAATCACCCATCCTGATGTTTTCTAATCAACAATTTTGGCTTGTTTTAGTATGTTAAGGCTTTGAAATCGATTAACAACCACCTGTACATATATTTTCTAATTACACATTCTCTATACCAAAAAACAAAAATCATTATATCCTTTATATTCTTTACAGTACCAAAAGATGAACCTGCCTCATTAGTTTTTATCACTCAAACGGATGTACGCCGTATTGATCCTAATAATGGCACCACATTAGCCATTGTCAATGCTGTAGATATATCGGCTGTTGAGATTTGGCATCGCAATAGAAGTCTCTGTACCGCAGAAGCCAGTATGTGGACAACGACAGAATTGAAATGCTATCGCATTGATGATATGAATGTAACATGGGCGCTGCCGTTGCCGGAACTAATTACAAGTACACATGGTAAGTACCGAATGCAATCATCATCATTAGAAGTAAAGCAGCAGAACAAAAACATGAACAAATCAACATTTTTGTTGTTTTTTTTTTAATCACTTCAAATCGTCGTCAGTCATGATGATGACACAAATATTGGACCACCAGAGTTTAAACTCATTTGTATGAAAAGGACATGGTCATTTGCCATCATCATCGCCATCGTCGTCATTGTCTTTATCCGTTTCGTTTATTATTGATGTGCTCTTTAAGCCATGTCCAATATTAGCCACAATGAACTCTTTCTTTTTGTTTGTTGCTGCTGATGTTGTTGGCATTGTTGTTGTTTTCAATGCAATACATACATGCATGTCCGACTTGCGAACGTGTGTTTGTAAACGTGGCTTATAACAATGAGACATTGTTATTTGTTATCCTCTGCCTGCAGTCCGTGCTGAATTAATTTCATCTCATCGTCATTGGCATCATCGGTCGTCGTCATCATCATCGTTCTGGTCGTCAACATCACCAGTCGAAACATTCTCTGTCATTGTTAGTGTATGTGTGTGTTGTGTTCATCATTTTTATGTTTCTTTTTTTTATATTTTTGCAGCCATCGATAAATTACGTCTCGATTGGATAACTGGCAATTGGTATATTTTGGGTAATGAGCCCAGTTATGTATTTTTGTGCACAAATACAATGGAATATTGCAGCATTATACTGAAGGATATTCCCAATCTATCATCGATGGTATTGGATCCAACAAAAGGGTAAGTTTCATCTATCATGGTATTGATTATTAAAGATGGGAGTAGTGTAATAAGTTGTACTCTAAATAGGAAAATACGAATAGTTTTAGAAATTTAAATATTTTAGAATGGCAAAAACAATTGTTGTTGTAATAGGTTGGCTGTCCGAAATTTCAGGAGAATGCTGGACTCCGCATAGTCATCGGCGTACGACACCACTGAAACAACTGGTGGAGGAATGGTCACATCATCGAGGGGACCGACGTGCATTATTTTGTGATGTCCTAGCTTTCACCTTCTGGCTGATGTAGTTAGAATGCGAGGAGAAATGATGGCGGTTATCGAAGACAAACCAAACATTTTTTTCACTTACGTCGTCAATGTTAAAGCCGGACGAAATAACCGCACAGTCATCGGCGTACGACACCACTGAAACAACTGGTGGAGGAATGGGGAGTTTCACAAGATACATATTGAACAAAATGAGAAATAGGACACCGCCTTGCGGTACTCTCATTTTGATCTTGCAATATTTGCATTTTTGGTCACGGAACTCAACGATGCCTTGCCGCACATTAAGGTAGTTGGCAAGCCAAAGCTTAATATCACTAACCGTATCTAACGCCTAGGACAGATCTAAAGCAGCCTCAATGGTCCGTTCAGGTAGTCGTCGCTGATTGAAGCCATTCTCAATCTTGGAAGTAATTGCTTGAACAGCCGTTGTTGTGTTATATATATATTTTCCTGAGACCTAGATGGTGGGTAGCAAGAACGAAATGCTGTTCCAGGGACGGAAGGAATAGAGGCTCTAAACCTTGGCTACTGGTGAAAGAAGAGAAATCGGGCGGTAGGATTCCCCATTACTAGTGGATTTATCTGGTTTTAGAATTAGAATAATCCGGGCAACTTTCCAAATAGAATTATCAATTGTGACATCGACAACTCGAGAATTTTGGTAAGATAACGTAGCCTTTAAATTCTTTGGCATCAGAATGTTGGATTTTTTTGAAGAAAATAGCAGGGAGATTAAGGTGTTCTAACCATTTAGAGCACCTATGCTCAGGGACTGAAGCATCTACTTTAGCGCTTAGCCTTGTCTCTGGTAGAGGATTTCTCACTGATGGAAGCGAAATCGGACTCGTCAATCTGGTTTGCAATAAGAATCATGGTGAGCTTTGAAAGCAAAATATATACACTGACAATTTCACAATCAACGGAGTAAACTGAAATGCGCCAAACCTCCAAGAAAGGAAGGAGAGGAAGTCAGGGTATATCTGACATTTGCTGGATAATGAATGCAAGTCCCCCCATTATCTCTATCCCTGTCTCGCCGAATGATGTTGTAATTCCCGGAGGAGGATAACTAACAAATGCTGGTCAGCTTCATTTCTTACAAGACAGCAATGGGGTTGTTGCTTTCATGCATGAAGTTTGTGATCTCAATTAGTTTATCCCTAAGATTGCATTGTCGATGCTTCAAAATCAAATCCAAATTCGAAACAAATGGTCACCTGTATCCTGGTAATGTAGCGACGGACCATTAGAGCAACGTAGGAAGGGCCTTTACAACACATTTCGGTTGCATGAAGACTTCCAAGTTATTCAAGAAATTAACATGCAGCACTGACCTGCTGTCCAATGACTTCTTTATATTTCCGCACTTTGAGAAAACATTCTTGGGCATCCAAAAAACTCCAGCCCTCGTATCATCGATCCCGCCACAAAAAATTGACAAGAACTTCGTTAAGATATGTCGGACCGAACTTCGTATATTCATATTTGTCCCCTTTAGAAAACGAAAGTTAAAGACACATAGGTTGGTCATTATATGGGGTATGTCAAAACATGGACCTTATTCTTCCTGGAAAAATATTTGTATCTACCAAAATCGCGGCATTCCAGATCCCAGCCATTTCCGTTAGAAAATCAAAATACCAAGTATATGGTGTTATCTTTATATAGGGGACTTCAATATTCAATTCCAACATTTGTTACACTACTCTCATAAAAATAATAAAACAAAAACATTATACTTTATGTCGCCGCCGCCACTTAAAATATTTATGTTCATGATTGGCGTGCAAATTATTTATGGAAAATATTTTAATTTATAATTTTCACTTCCAATTTCTTACTTCTTTGTCATAAATATATTTCATCAACGTCCTCTCTGTCTTGCTTTTTTTCTTTTCAAAAATATCTCTTTACAGCTTTATATTCTTTACCGAATGGAGTTCCAGTCTATCACGTGCAAATCTGGACGGCACAAATCATACACAGATAGTGACCACACGGATTTACTATCCCAGTAAACTGACAGTGGATTTGGCCAACGAACATGTCTATTGGCTGGATGTCTACAAAGATTTCATCGAAAGAGTCGATTACGATGGCGGCAATCGATGGGCCATGAAAAAAGCACCCGATGTAAGTAGTATTCCATCATCATGACCGGGCAATGCCATGCAGTCAGTTTGAGGCATTGATTCAGTCAAATGAATCCCTGATGAGGCGTTGAAAGTAAATACAGACATTCATAGAAAATATATCTCGTATATATGAAGAGTTTTTGTAGCTACTACCACTACTACTACAGCTGTTGCAGTAAACAGCTCGTTAATGGTCGTTGAATTGTGGCAATGGTGGTAATAGTGGTTATGTTGCCTCGTGATGATGAAAATGTAAAGTTTTTTTCCGTCCGGCGAAATCCTTGGTTTGGTTTTTATTTAAATTCACTATTTTTTTTTATTTCCTTACCAATACCTTGAATGTTGGCATATTTACGCATTGGCTGACGACTGCCTGGTCAGATAACTGTTCGCAATTTCTATCGGACAAACCACCGCCATTCGACTTTGGTTTGAATCACAGCTTATGGTCGATTTTTGGCCATTCATTTGCGTCACTGCCGAGTCCATAAACCAGCATTAAATCGTATAAATTTTAATTAACGCCGAGTGTAATTAAAACTGATTTTTATTGTACACAGTTGAATTGTTTGAAAGTTGAATACAAGAAAAAGGATTGCTTGTTGGCTGGCTCACTGGTTGGCTAGGAAACTGGTAGGGTATCACGTTTAAATATATCCTCTTATATGGATATAAATAATGAGAGGGCTTTAAAATAAAGTTTATGTATGATATACATATTAAAACGAAAAAATACGGAAATAAAAACAATTATTACCAGGTAGGGCACGTGATAGCCAACATGGTTACATTAAGCCAGAAATATTTATATCCTGAAAATATATACGGTGAGAATAAAAGGGATTAGTGTTGAATCTTCAGGACTATGGTTAACATTTATGAGTATATAAAACCATAGGTCAAATTGTTGTGCTATAGCGATACCATTTTATTATTATTATCTCTTTTTCTGGTATCTCTAAAATTCATGAAGGCTGTTGCATGTTGTTTGAGATGACATTTCTTCATTCAAATAGTATGTGGAATATTTTTGTAAAACCTATCCTCCGTTTATCTCGATTATCTCGAAATACCACTAGATGAGATTTTTGACTTCCAACATGATATTCGTATGGTTTCATCTTTTCTGGTCTGGCCTTTCTCCACTTTTACCCGTTTCATTCTCAGAAAATCGTATATCAGTTTTGTATAAGTTGTAGAATGAATTTCGTATAAGTTGTAGATTATACGTCAAATCAAAAATTTATTCGCGGTGCACACTTTCGGATCCCTATATTTTTAAACCGAATTTTTAGACAATGAAACCGGTTTTTGTACATCCGATTGTAAAACATACACATTGGTTGATAAGCAGATATTTCGACCAGACACATATTTGTCGTATAAAAGGTTATATACCTACTTTAGGATAAAGTTTAACTTATACCAATTAATGGAAAACATATCTAAACCATTGAGGAACTTTTAATTCTGGACGACGCTGAGGCATCATAGACGTTCTATACCGGTAATGTACCGAACTATATCAATTCGTATGGAAGGCCAATGAGATACAGTACCTTCATTCCGAAAAATAAAAGTCCAACATCAACAAAAGAAAATACAATATGGACGAAAAAATCACTTTAATTATTCTTTGCGTTCTTTTTTACAAGACTCAACAACAAATTAGAGGGTACAATTCGTACATTTCGTAGGAAGCGATTTAAATATTTTGGACTGTATACACAATTTGGTACTGTACATATTTTTGCACCCATCTATGTATTGAAAAGCACATAACATGACCAAAAATTTGAATTTTTTAAATTTTTCTTTAGATATGTGTCTTTCATAATCAGCTCATAACATATGTAATCCAAAAAATATACATTTATTTGCCGCGTATTAAATATAAGCTCTAAAACATTTTGTTGCCTGTGGGCAACATTGGGCCATAAAGGTTACGAGTCGATTTACATATAGACGTCTGTCTTGCTGGCTTGTGCTCACGATATCGCTTGAAGGAATAACTAATTTCATCAAATTTTACACACCATAATATTAAACTTAAATTAAGTTCGACGATGGAGAATATCGGTCCATTCCTTCTAGTACCTAGCCCCGTTTGATTTGAACCAAGCTTTGCACAACCTAATTGATTAACCAAACCTGTATAATGTTAAAAGTAGGGATAAGTAAATCGACTTTCGACTAATCGACTTTTTGTATTGAAAAGTCGAAGTCGACATTTAATCTATCATAAATACTTGGTTTATTATCACAAAACTCAAATTGCCCAAAAATTATACATACCAGAACTTTATTTTATATGTTCACAACAATTTATACAAAAGATTCAATTTTTATTGATTTTGCATAAGTCGGTAAAAGTCGAAAATCGATTTTGAATACGTTTGACAAAATCAAAGGATCGAAATGTCGACTTTTTAGTCAGAGGCTAGATAAAAGGTGATACTTATTGGTTCACTCCTTCAAGTACCTCTCACCCAAAGGGGCAACATTTGTAAATCACATATGAAGCGAACGGAATATCCAATTTCATCCAAAATTTGCACATCGTAATATTTGTAACCAATCTTGATCAAGTAAATGATTTTTCCTTATCCTCGTTTGGGTCTCCCCAAAATTATTTTGTGTTTATCCCAGCCCCTCGCTCCTGACCTTAGTTCTAGACGCACTAAAAGGCTTGGCATTATTTACATCTATTATCTCTTAAATGCCTCACGCACCGTTTGTCTATCAATCTTAGGTTCCTCGTATCTTTCCTCACTTAGCACCGTTATTTCATCAGATGTCGATGTGCCATGTGGGAAGTGAGCTTTCATGGGGATTCTTATTGTTTCTTCTGTTGTCACAATTCTGTTTCCCCTCGTCCACCATGTTTTCGGTTCTAGTGTGGGGTTTTAAGAGATACTTCTTTAATTCTCCCCTGTCAGCCTTGTTTTTATCAGCTTCATTTTGTTATATTCTTTCCTCTTAGGTGGCAAGATTTCCTATCTTGAAATTGACAACATTCTTCGAAACACTTTACAATTATATCCATTAAATTGTTGACATAGTCAGCGTTTTGGCTGTCATCGTTGGGTTGCCCTAACCAATCTTTTATCAATCTCCTGAAATTTACTCAGTTAATCTTAGACTTGCTTCGGAAGAATATTGGTTTTGGAGGTGGCCGTGAAATTTTAAACCTAATATATTTATGGTGAGAGAAAGAGTACTCTTGTGAGACTCTCTATTATTGATCCTCGTCAATTAAATTTTCTGAACATATAGTTATGCCTAATACCTCCTCTCTAATTCTATTAAAAAAGTTTGGTTTATTGCCTATTAGGACGTTAGTATTGATAAAATCTAAGAAGGTCAGACCTCTTTTTTAGTATTAGTACTATCCCACACCATTTGGAGTGAGTTAGCGTTACAACCGATTAGTTATCTATCGTTATCTACACTGATGCTAGGTAATTATTGTAATTTCCTTGCATCAGTAAAGTTCGTCCGATGTTGACAACTCTGTGTAAAAATGAAAAATTAATTATTCGTGACATATTATACAGGTTCAGGGTGCCTGTGATTACATAAAATAAACTACATAATTAAACCACTGAAATCTTGTGTTTTACTGTTCGAGGTTCCTGTAATCCCGACATGTATATTACCTTTTTTATTTTTTTCCATCAGAACCAGTGTTGCCGTTTCACTCCGATGGTGTTTATCTGAATGGCTTCTGTTAATTGTCCTCCATTAAACAGTCCTCTTGGGAGTCGGTTATCTTCTCATCGGCTCCCTCACTTTTGTTGCTAGGTGATTCTTCCTCGCTACTCTTCTTGGCATCTTCTTCTTGTCATAAGCTGAGTATTGAGGACGTATTAAATTTGGATGGTTATCTACATTTTCCAACCGAGTTGATTGTATTTCATAGTTGGAAAGCCTTGTACACCAGCGTTTATGCGTTCTCTTAACTTTTTTGGATATCAAAACAAAAGTAAACATTAATTTTTGCCGCAATTTTTTGATGAATTTATACTTAATCCTTCCTGGGATGTTATGTGTGTTTTAAAAATATTAAATTAATTAAATTCCACAGAATAATGTTGGGTTTTTTCCTTAAACATTTTTAAGAGAAATTTCGCCCACCATTGTTGTATTTACTTTTTACATTTCGTAGTGTATAGGGTAACGCCTATCAGTCAGGTCAGTAAATGTCAAATTAAAATTAACTTTACTTTCCGACTTTCGGTATTTTGACGATTTGGTTTTCTAACCCAATTTAAAGTTTTCTATTCACTCTGATTGGGTGACAAATAACATATTTTCATAACAAATGAATATTGTAACGATCACTTATAAATAAATGTAGCTTTTTATAATTTCCAAATTGTATTCCTTTTCAGGTACACATTCCATTAAAATCCATTCATGCCGTTGAGATTTTTGAAAATACCATTTACCTGGGATTATGGAGTGATGACATGATCATTGGCTTGGATAAGTTTTCTTTAAAAGGAAAAGAAGTGATAAAGAATGTCAAACATCCGCATGACTTTAGGATGTTTCATCGACAAAAACAACCTGAGGGTAAGTTCTCAAATTGTATAACCTATAGCCAAATATGTCAAAATTTATATTTACCTAAATCATAAAAATCCAATAATTCATCAGACGTTAAGCTCTGATCCCGAACTTAACAATACTATCATTTAATACTATGTTATATAATATATGTATATGAGTTTGTTCGTTTTTTAATAAACTGTAACAAATGCTTCTTTTTTTCTTCTTCGCTCATTTTTATGCAATGTTATCCAGTGGCACATCCTTGCCGCGTTAACAATGGCATGTGCAGCCAAATATGTGTTCCCATGTGGACAAAAGGATTTGCCCGAGCGACCTGCATGTGTTCGCCGGGCTATAAATTACGCAATAACACCGAATGTGAATTGTTGCGCTATGATAAATTCCTACTGGTGGCCCGGCAACGTTTGTCCAGTATAGCCGGCATACCGTTAAATGCTCCAGAACAAGCTGCCGAGGCCATGGTACCCATTTATAATGTCACATGGATTATGCCGGTCGACATTAATGTGCATCACAAGCAGGTTTATTATATACAACAACAAAAGTAGGTCAAAAAACAGAGCGATACCTTGTAGCTTTATTGTCTAAATATGGTATTAAATGACTTTATAACTAACTGATTTTTTTAGAAGCAGTTACACTCTGCATAGCAGGTCCACATATGGTACTGACCGTCGAACGCTGGCCAATGGTAGTGAGACTATTTCCGTATTGGCATATGACTGGTTAACGGGTAACATCTATTGGGGTGGTGCTGATTATATCTTTGTTGCTCCTGTGTCGAATATGTCGAAGGTCTTGTCCCTGCCCATGCGTCATGAAGCCATGTAAGTTTGTTGGTAATCGTTTTGTATTGTTTTGATCAATTATTGGAAATATTTATTTGCGTTTCTCTTTTTCATGTTCTTAGGAGTTTAGCCTTGGATCCTAGTAGTGGTTATATGTTTTGGGCCCATTGGACAGCTAATGAGAACAAAGCTTCCATTTATCGTGCCTGGTTGGACGGGTCACACAGAGAAGTTGTAGCAGAAACTAGCGCTGATAAACCAATGAATTGGCCATTGAGTTTAAGTATTGATGTACAGCATAAGAAAGTTTATTGGTGAGTGATGGACAAGATTTGTGAATAGCTATTATTGGGAATATATGTCGGATTTGATATTACTGGATAAAATAATTAAATTTCGACCGGACCGAAATTTGTAAACCCTTCATTCTGAAATATGTCAAAACATGAACATAAAAATTCTTCTAAATCTTCAACTTGGACCAAACCATACAAAAATATGTTGAAAATTACAACCATATCGGTTTAAAATACGCTTAGAACATCAGAATTGCTAAAAAGAACGGCACCTTTATATAGGGACAATTTCGGATCGATGTCATATAGCGCCACGTAGTTACAAATTTGCTATACTCAGAATCACTGACCCCATTCCGAGATTTATTAACAAGAGTCACCCAATTCCGATACTTTTTTCCTACTTCCATCAATTATTTATCAATTCTAACACTTTTATGACTCAAGTCACTTCATTTTTAAATTTAACTCGAAATAATATTGCCTTGCAGGTGTGATGTCAAGGACGGCACTATTGAACGTATGAATTTCGATGGAACTGATCGTGAAGTGATATTCGCTGATCCTGAATATCATCCGATTTCGATTGCCTATCACAAAGGTACCATCTACTGGGTTGATGCCAGAAACGGTACAGTTCGAAGTTTTTCAACACATCACCTGAATGGCACGATAAAAAATAATGACAGCTCCAAGGTGTTTTCATTGGAACGTGGTCGTAGTTCGAACTTAAAGGTATTCGATATCAGTACACAACCAATGTCTTCAAATAATGGCTGCGCTAAAAGCAAATGTCCGGGTATATGTTTTAATACGCCCAATCAATCGATGTGCCGTTGCCCAGATAAATATTCTCTTAACGGTACGGGTACCCAATGTATCCCCTCGCCTCAGGATAAAGAGGAAAAACCAAAGAATTGCACCACAGGATTTCAATGTTTGACATCGGATCAGTGCGTTTATGTTAAGGATTTATGCGATGGCTTCGATGATTGCAAAGATGGCAGTGATGAGAGCAGTGCTCCCGGTGGTCCTTGCGATCCCAAAAAATGTGATTTGAATGTGCATTTTGTATGTAATAATCGTTGTTATCAGCGATCCTTATTGTGCAGCTCGATCAGTTATTGTCCCGATGGTACGGATCAAAGGAATTGTGATAGTCATACCTGCAACAGTAACGAGTTCACCTGTACCAAAAGTGGCAAGTGTATACAAATGTCTTGGGTAAATGATGGTATTGCCGATTGTGGACCCGACGATTCCTCGGATGAGTATGGTGATGATTTGATCGATGATAAATGTCCGGAGTTTGAGTGTCGTAATGGGGTTTGTCGTTCGTTCTCCGAGGTTTGTGATGGCTTAGATCAATGTGGGTAAGTAGACCGAATCACAAAGATATCTGTTATTTGGGCACTGATGGGTCCCCTTCTTTTTAGTGACAATTCTGACGAGGTTGCCTGCGAATTCGAATGCGGTCCCAATGAACGTTACTGCATTCCAATTGGTTGCTATGATGAGACCCACATGTGCGATGGCATCAACGATTGCTTGGATTTTAGTGACGAGATGAATTGCAATGAGACCAAATCGGATCATCATTACATTGACTTGGGGGAGGCTCACTCGTGTGCACCCTTTGAATTCGGCTGTTCCGATCCGTTTGAGTGTATACCACATTTCTTCCGCTGCGACGGAGTGCCACAGTGTTACGATAAATCCGATGAGGTTAATTGTACCGAAATAAAACCAATTGTTCGAGATTATAACGAGACAGTGATATGCGAACCACCCGATCGTCACTGTGCCGAATCGAATAAATGTATTTCCGTCAATCAGCTGTGTGATGGTAATATCGATTGTGAAGATGGCACCGATGAGGGTTATCTTTGCTCTCAGAAAATGTGCGAGCGGCCTGATCCACAATGTTCCCACTATTGTCACAATGCCCCGGAGGGCTTCTTCTGTTCCTGTCCAGCTCATATGTATTTACTGCCCAATGGACGCCGCTGTAGCATGCAGCATGCCTGTGAACATTGGGATTCGTGCTCACAGATTTGTGTAACCATAGGCAAGGGTTACAAGTGTAAATGTTTCGAGGGCTATGATTTGGAATATGATCGATACACGTGCAAAAGTACAGCTCCTGATGACCCATATGTAATCTACACAAATCGCCAAGAAATTCGCGGCTTGAACCTGAAAAAGTCTACGTTCAGTAACTTCTATGCTTCGCTGAGAAACACCATTGCCTTGGACTTTCTCTACAACAACGTTTCCAGTCAAATATTCTGGACGGATGTTATAGATGACAAAATATACAGAGGACAATTGGTGGGAGAGTCTTTGCACAAAGTTGAGGCGGTGGTACATTCTGGTCTCTCAGCCACAGAAGGTTTGGCTGTAGATTGGATTGGCATGCATTTATATTGGATTGATTCGAATTTGGATCAAATTGAAGTGGCCAAACTGAATGGAAGTTTCAGACGCACTCTTATCGCCGGGGATATGGAAAGCCCACGAGGCATAGCCTTGGATCCTAGAGAGGGTCTACTATTTTGGACTGACTGGGATGACAACTATCCACGCATAGAACGTTGTTCGATGGCGGGAAAACATCGTCAGGCAATAACAACCACTACACAGGTATCGGCTGGTTGGCCCAATGGTCTGTCATTGGATTATACACAAAAACGTGTCTATTGGGTGGATGCCAAGTCCGATTCGATCTACACTGTGAAATATGATGGTTCCGATATACATTTGGTGCTAAGAGATCGTGAAATCCTATCGCATCCATTTGCCATTGCGGTCTTTGAGAATTATGTGTATTGGACAGATTGGAGAACTACATCGGTGATAAGGGCAAATAAATGGAATGGTACTGACATTGAAGTAATACAACGAACACATACCCAACCATTTGGTATACAGGTTCTGCATTCCAGTCGCCAGCCACAAGCTGAAAATCCTTGTGGAGATAATAACGGGGGCTGTTCGCATTTGTGTTTGCTAGAGTAAGTTGAGATGGATGGTGTCATTTGTCAATTAAGTATAATCTCTTAACTATCTCTCCGTGTATAGTGTCAGGAAAACCTATCAGTGTGCCTGTCCTCATGTTATGCGTTTGGATCACAGCGACAATAAAACTTGCGTTGCCAACGAACAAGTTCTACTTTTTATTATGGCCGATGAAATCCGTGGCATAGATTTAATGCAACCCAATCACCATACCATACCTACAATTAGACAATCTCCTCAGGTATTCCTTCGAAACTATCTTTGTGTGGTATGCGGAATATATTGATTTTTTTATTCTTATAGGTTTTGGCACCGCAACGAATTGATTTTACCGTAGAAGATAGCCGCCTCTATTGGTCCGACGTTCACTTGAATGAAATCAAAACAGCTGGCATCTCAAATGGCATAATCGACACGATTATCAATACCGATATTCACAATCCAACTGGATTTGCCATCGACTGGATAGCTAAGAATATGTACTTCTCAACTGGTAAAATTAGGAGTGACATTTGGGCGAGTAATTTGAAAGGCGAATACGTAACCGAAATATTGAAAGATTTGAATATGGTGGAAAGTATTGCCTTGGATCCAGTGAAGTAAGTATAACAAATAAAGGCCTTTAGAAACAATTAATTATCAAATTATTATTCCTGTAGTGGTAAACTTTATTGGATATCTTCAACACGCAATCTTCAAAAGTGGCAAATCGAACAAAGTAATCTTGATGGTTCGGAGAGAAGCGTCATCTATGAACACAATAAAACTCTGGCTTCGCTAACAATGGATTTCGATTCGATGCGTCTGTATTTTGTCTATGACAACTCGGGTATATCCTATTATAACATATCCACGAAAGACGTGAAAATTGTAGTTGCATCGAGTACGGTGATGACCATTAGCGCGGTAACTGTTTACAATGGAACTCTATATTTTCCGGAGAATATACAGGGTGTTATAATGTCTTGTGATAAAAATGCGTGTGCCGAATATTCAATTCTACGAAAAAATACCAAAAAGGTACAATATTTGAAAATGTTCTATGCTGAGGCGCAACAAGGTGCAAACACATGTGCTGGTCCCTTGAAAGGTGGTTGTGCTCATCTTTGCTTTGCAATCTCAAATAAAGATCATACATGCGGTTGTGCCATTGGATATCGCATAGATCCCACAAACCCTACTCAGTGCGTTGGGGTAGATGAGTTTTTGTTCTATACAAATCATGAATTGAAAGGCATTGAAATTTACGATCCCAGTAAACCAATCAGTGAGCAGGGACAAAAAATGGTAAGTTTTGGAAGTGATAAACAATTCTTTCTGTTCACTGCTAACAAATCGGTTTCATATTTTTTTCTAGGCATTGGGTCCCATTTCTCGCATATCACTGGCCTCCTTCATAGACTATCATGCCAAAGAAGATTATTTGTATTGGGGTGACAATGACAGTGGCACGATATCGCGCGTTAAGCGTGATGGCACCCAACGTCAAGTTATCATCGAATCTCCCGAATGGTTGGATAACAAACAAATGGATTGGCTGGGTGGCATTGCAATTGATTGGGTAGCCGAAAACATTTACATCAGTGATATAAAGCGAAATGTTATCGAAGTGGCTCGTCTGGATGGTTCCCATCGTCATGTCGTAGTTTCCAATGTGAAAAAACCCAGTGCATTGGCTGTTGATCCCGTACAGGGTTTACTGTTCTATGTGGCAGAAGGTGTTATTGGTCGCACCGGTTTGGATGGTTCACAACCATTTGTTTTGGTAAATCACGATAAGCTTGCCACTAGTTCAGTGCTGGACATTGATGCTAAGAAGGATAAAATTGTCACCAGTTTAGTGCTGGACATCGATGCAACAAAGGTGTATTGGTGTGAGGCACCCAAAGTATCACTTGCCCAACCGTCGATTATGAGGGTTGACTACGATGGAAATTTGAAGGAGGTTTTGCTCAATCATACTCTTGAGTACCCCACGTCAGTGGGTAAGCTTGATGATTACATCTATTGGACGGATAACAATTACAACAAGGGCACCTTCAAAGTTGCCCATATGGCCAATTTAAGCAACTATGTTGAGTTGAAACGTTTTGAAGGCAATTCGGTAAAGGATATGAAAATATACTCCAATAGACTTCAAAAGGGTATCAATCCATGCGCTGAAAATAATGGTGGCTGCCAGGAGTTGTGCCTCTTCAATGGAACCACACCCATATGTGCCTGTTCACACAGCCGTGTCGCAGCTGACGGCATGACCTGCGAACCCTATGACAGTTTCCTGCTCTTCTCTTATCATAGTACCATTGAAAGTGTCCACCTAACGGATCACGCAAACAAAAATGGCCCCGTGAAACCCATCCGCAACACCACCATGATGATGAATGTCATTGCCCTGACTTATGACTATGAGAATAGTGTTCTGTTCTATTCCGACGTCATATTAAGTACCATCAATGCTGTAAATTTCAATGGTAGCAATAATCGAGTTTTGGTTACACATCAAGGGAAGGTTGAAGGCCTGGCGTTTGATATTGTCAATGAAATGCTCTTCTGGACTTCGAACAATGATGCATCCATTTGTAGCTTGGATCTGCACTATATTTCCGACAACCCGGATAATAATACACAATTGGTGAACCGTATTCGTGTCTTAAATTCCAAAGACAAGCCACGGGGCATTGCCGTGGAACCATGTCTGGGCATGATTTATTGGACGAATTGGAATGAGGAAAGTCCCTCCATTCAAAGGGCTTATGTGACCGGTTTTGGTTTGGAGTCGATTATCAAAACCGACATCAAAATGCCGAATGCCATTACCTTGGATCTAGAGGACCAAAAGTTATATTGGGCTGATGCTAGAATGGATAAAATCGAAAGAGCCGATTACGATGGCACTCATCGCGTTCGCTTGGCCCATTCCACTCCCAAACATCCATTTTCCATAGCTGTTTATGGCGATTTATTGTTCTGGTCCGATTGGGTTTTAAAAGCTCTGGTAAGAGCCAATAAATACACTGGTGCAGAAATGGTTTTCCTGCGTGATCATGTTGAAAGGCCCATGGGTGTCGTTGCTGTTCAGAATACGACCGTCAATTGTGATTCGAATCAATGTAAGATCCTAAACGGTGGCTGTGAAGATGTGTGCATTTTAAATAGCAACGGAACAGCAAGTTGTCAGTGTACCCGCGGTATTTTGGCGCCCGATGGCCGCAGATGTCTGCAACCGTTAAATGTGAAGTGTGATAAGAATCAATTCCAGTGTGGTTCTGGTGAATGTGTCCCACTGCACTTGACATGTGACAGTATAGTTCATTGTTTAGATGGATCCGATGAAGCACGAAGCTATTGTATTATACGCGCTTGTCCAACTGGTTTCTTTATGTGCAATAATCATCGTTGCATTCCCCAGTCGCAAACATGCGATGGTGCACACCAATGCGGTGATGGCTCCGATGAATCTGAGCTTATATGTAAATGTGAAGCGGATAAGTTCCGTTGTGGTAGTGGTGAATGCATCGCAAAACAATTTGTTTGCGATCATGTGCGTGATTGCAAGGACTTTAGTGACGAAAAGCACTGTCCTGAATCTGAATGTCCAGCTGGAGATGCTGTTTACGAGCACTGTCCCAATTCCACGGCTTGTATAATGCCTATGTGGCGTTGCGATGGCGACAATGATTGCCCCGACGGTAGTGACGAGCTTGATTGTGATCATGTGACGAAAGTTGCATGTGGCCCCGGACAATTCCAATGTTCCAATGGACGTTGCATCAACGAAAAGTGGCGTTGCGATGGAGAGAATGACTGCAAGGACTCGGTGGTTGGCAATTTCAGTTCCGATGAATACGGTTGTAAGTTGCAGTGCAAACCCAATGAATTTAGATGCGACAACACCTGTATTCCAGCCAGTTGGCAATGCGACTCCAAGCCTGACTGCGAAGATGGCTCGGATGAAGGGGCCCAATGTCCGAACCGTGTATGCCAACCCCATATGTTCCAATGTAAGTCCTCAGGCCGTTGCATTCCACAAAAATGGGTATGCGATGGAGAACACGACTGCCCAGCTCCAGGTTTCGAAGATGAAGGAGATCAGTGTGCCATTGCCACAGTGCCGCATATTCCCGATTGTGTTGCTCCATCATTTCTCTGTTCGAACGGCTTGTGTCTGGATCGGCGTTTGGTATGTGATGGTGATCACGATTGCCCCAACGGTGATGACGAATACGAAGATTGTGTACCGTTCAATTTTACCCAAGTTTGCGTGGAGGAAGTGGAATTCCAATGTCATAATCTTGAGTGCATAGCTAAAAATCTAACTTGCAATTCGAGGGCGGATTGCTCCGATGCATCGGACGAATCCGTGGAATTGTGTGGCGAATCGACAATGACTTGTGGCCAAAGTCAATATCAATGCAAAAATGGCGCATGCGTTTCGGAGGAACTGCTGTGTAATGGTCGGAATGATTGCGGCGACTTTTCGGATGAGTCTTTGTGTAATATTGATGAGTGCCTCAATCCGGATATTTGTGAACACAAGTGTATTAATAAGAAAATTGGTTACGAGTGTCAATGCCATCCCGGATATAAGTTGCATACCAACAATCACCATTTATGTGATGATATCGATGAATGCAATGGTCCGCATCAGTGTTCGCAAATATGTGCCAATACCTATGGCTCATACAAATGTCTGTGCATGAAGGGTTACGAACTCAAGGATGACCATCATACTTGCAAGGCCACCAGTAATGAGACGGCTAAACTTATATTCTCCAATCGTTATTACATCCGACAGGTGGATATGCGGGGCAATGGCAGCATACTTATGCACCAGTTATCGAATGCCGTAGCCCTAGACTTTGATTGGTCTTCCAAGTGCATATTTTGGTCAGATGTAACGTCAACAATGGCCATGATTAAACGATATTGTCCGGCGGAAAATAAAACCACTACTCTACACCAGGCAATGCTGAAGAACCCCGATGGTTTAGCGGTGGATTGGGTGGCAAAAAATCTGTATTGGTGCGATAAGGGTTTGGATACCATTGAGGTGTCGAAATTGGACGGCAAATATCGCAAGGTATTGATAAATGAACATTTGCGTGAACCTCGTGGTGTGGCCTTGGATCCCTTTAATCGTAATCTTTATTGGTCCGATTGGGGTGAAGATCCACATATTGGAAAAGCCGGTATGGATGGCTCAAATGCCAGAATTATCATACGTGAAAATATGGGTTGGCCAAATGCCCTGACACTGTCGTTTGAAAGTAATCAATTGTTCTGGGGTGATGCCCGGGAAGATACAATATCCGTTTCTGATTTGGATGGCAACAATGTTCGCATCCTGATGGCACGCAAATTAAATCCTCATCTGAATTTGCATCATATTTTCGCCATAGCTGTGTGGGAGGATAAAATATATTGGTCAGATTGGGAAATGAAGTCGATTGAGTATTGCAACCGATTTACAGGACAGAACTGTTCAACTTTGGTGACAACCATACATCGTCCCATGGACTTGCGAATTTATCATCCATACCGTCAGCAGCAGCCGTACGGTGGAAATCCTTGTGAAAATGCCGAGTGTTCTACGCTGTGCCTACTATCGCCAGACCCACCGTTCTACAAGTGTGCCTGTCCCAATAACTTCATACTGGGCGATGATAATAAGACCTGCATTGCCAATTGTACGGCAGCTCACTTCCAATGTTCGCAGACCTACAAGTGTATTCCCTTCTACTGGAAATGTGATACCCAAGATGATTGTGGCGATGGTAGTGATGAACCCGAAAATTGTCCACCCTTCCACTGTGAACCGGGCCAGTATCAGTGCAATAATAAGAAATGTATTCATCCAGCTGCCATTTGTAATGGTAGCGACCAGTGCGGAGATAATTCCGACGAACAGAACTGTGATAAATTTACTTGCTTTGAGAACCATATGAAGTGTGAGGCTACTGCCAATACAACCGCGTTCTGCATTGAGAATCTGCAGAAGTGTGATGGCGTTAAGGACTGTCCTAATGGTGAAGATGAAGTGGGTTGTACGCCACTGAGCTGTAAAAAGGATCAGTTCCAGTGTAATAATCGTTGTGTGCCCCTTGTGTGGGTGTGTGATGGAGATGCAGATTGTCCCAATAAATCGGATGAAATGAATTGTGATAAAGTCACATGTGATTCCAGTGACTTCCAGTAAGTGTCGGTGGTAGAATAAAGGGATTATAATCTGAATCCCTTAACATATTATTTTTTTCTTACAGGTGCAGTTCCGGTCGGTGCATACCAATGGCCTGGCGTTGTGATGGGGAAGATGATTGCCCGGATGGCGAAGATGAACCAGCCTCCTGCCGTTCACTGAAGGAGGAATGTGATCCCACATACTTTAAGTGCAATAATTCTAAATGTATACCCGGCAGATGGCGCTGTGATTATGAAAATGATTGTGGCGATGGTAGCGATGAACTGAATTGCCAAATGCGTAACTGTTCGGAAAGTGAATTCAGATGTGGAACTGGTAAATGCCTTAAGCATGATCATCGCTGTGATGGCGAAATACATTGTGATGATAGCAGTGATGAACTGAATTGTAACATAACCTGTAAGGCGAATCAATTTAAATGTGCCACATTCAATACCTGCATTAATAAGTAAGGAAAACGGATGACCCTGCGAAATATTTTGTGGATTAATGGAATTCCTATTATTCTTCTAGGCAATACCAATGTGATGGCGACGATGATTGTCCCGATGGCAGTGATGAGGTTAATTGCACCTGTCCCTCGGATCATTTCACCTGCGGCAATGGTAAATGTATTATGGCACGTTGGAAATGTGATGGTTGGGATGATTGTACCGATGGCAGTGATGAGAGTTTGGAGACCTGTGCCCATGTTCACTGCCATGCAAATGCCTTTAAATGCTCGAATCTCAAGTGTATACGCAAATCTGCGCTTTGTGATGGTGTCAATGATTGTGGCAACAATGAAGATGAAGCTGATGAGGTATGTGCCGCTCTACCGAAATGTCGACACGATCAATTCCAGTGTGAGAACGAGGATTGTATATCGAAAATATTCCGTTGCGATGGTCAATATAATTGTATCGATGGTTCGGATGAAATGAATTGTCAACCACCGGTTTGTGGCTTTGGAACATGCTCTCAGATATGTATAGAAAAGAAGGCGGGACATTACAACTGCAAGTGTACGGAGGGATATTCCAAAGGACCGGCGAAAAATGATACATGTTTGGCATCGGGTGAGTACTAGCGATTGTTCATCATTATAAAGAAAGTCTATAACAAATATTTCCGCTTAGGTCCCGATCAAGTTCTTTTATTGGCATCCGAACAAGAATTCCGTTTTATATTACCAGCAAAGCAAGAGGGCACCACAATGGTTGGTTTCTTCCACACGGATATCTTAAAGATTGATGTATTCGACATTTTAATCAGAACTAAAGACACCTTGCTCTTCTGGATCGATTCACATCATGGCAAGGTTCATACCATGAAAATAGCTATACCCCAAACTGAAGCCATAGCTGTAAGGGTAAGGCGTGATCTCAAGGAGTTGAAAGCGTTTGATGTAAGTTGTATGGAAATTTAGTTGGTATTTGGTGGTCTAATTCAAAAATGTGTTTCTAGATTCCCGTATTGGATGATCCGAAGTCCCTGGCCATTGAATGGATAACTCAATTGGTGTATATCATTGATTCCAAGCACAATGAAATTCTGGTTACCGATATTGATGGCAAGAAGTATGCTTCCCTGGTGTCAACTGGTTTAAATCCCACCGATATTGTTGTGGAACCTGAGTCACGTATTATGATTTGGTCCACTCTGGAAAATGGCATACTCATGGCCTCATTGGATGGCCAAAATAAACGTAGCTTAGTGGAACGTGATGTTGGCTGGCCCATAAGTTTAGCCATTGATTATCCAACGGGGCGTCTGTATTGGGCAGATTATCGTAAGGGTACTGTGGAAACGTGTCGTTTAAATGGCAAGGAACGTAATGTTGTGAGAAAGTTCTCCAACAAAGGTATGTGTGGGAATGTAATGGTCATCATGATAGAGTTTTATATAAACATTTTATTTTCTTTCATAGAAAAACCTCAAAAAATTGATGTATTCGAGGATTATTTATACATAAAGCTATATGACCAAAGCATAATCAAAATGAACAAGTTCGGTAATGATAACGGTACCTATTTGCTGAAGGGCTATAGATCATCTGACATTGGTATCCTACATCCTTTGAAACAAAATCGCAACAGTAAGTGTCAAATGAAATATTTGGTATTAAAAATATGTAATATACCCTCTCTTTGTTGTAGTATCGAATCCCTGTGCCAAGGACCCATGTAAACAAATTGGTGCCATTTGTTTGATGACCACCGAAACCAATAGTGGTTATAAATGTCGTTGTCCCAATGATTTCCATATGGTCGATGGTGTGTGTGTAGCCCATCAAACCATAGTTCCCGATTATTGTCCCCTGAAATGTAACCTAGGCACCTGTAAAGTTATCAACCATGTTCCAAAGTGTATTTGCCAACCACAGTTTGAAGGAGAATTCTGTGAACATTATCGCTGTTCCAATTATTGCATGAACTATGGCTTGTGTATAATTGCACCACAAATACCTGGCTCATCTGAACCACCACCACTAAAATGTAGCTGTACACCGGGATGGTCGGGACCACGTTGTGAAACTTCTGTACCGGAGTGTCAGAGTCGTTGTCACAATGGTGGCTCATGTCGCATTGAAGATGGCAGTATGAAGTGTACATGTCCGCCAATGTATGTTGGCGAACAGTGTGAGCATTGTGTGAATTTGACATGTACAAATGGAGGTATTTGTCGCGAGACTCTGTCGGGTACAACACAATGTGAATGCTCCGATGGGTAAGTAGTCATTTCCTTGTTTAGTGTTGGCTATAATTAATTATGAATATTTGATTTTTCCCTTTCAGATTCACTGGCAAACGTTGTGAGGTAAATGTGTGCTCTGGTTTTTGTAAAAATGGTGGAACATGCGTCATTGGTTCCAAGGGTGGTCCCCAGTGTCAATGTCCCAAAGGTTATTATGGTGAAAAATGTGAATCAGATTCATGTGCCAATTATTGCCTAAATGGTGGCGTGTGTAGAGAGAAACCAGGAAAGCTTTTGTGTTCTTGCCTGGAAAGATATGTAGGAGATCGTTGTGAGACGGATCTATGTAAAACTTCCAATCCACCAGCCTGTAAGTTTTATAAAATAATAAATTAATACTATATTTAATTCATTCTATTGTATTTTCCCAAAGATTGTGATCCCGCTGAAATACCACAACGTAATCCATGCACCGGCCTCATTTGTCAAAATGGTGGCACATGTCATGTCATTAAGGGGGTAGCCATGTGTAATTGTTCCGATCAATGGAATGGTGAATTCTGTGAACGACCTGTATCCGATGATAATCCATGTATCAATTATTGTCACAATAATGGTGTTTGTCATTTGGATCCCTATCAAATTCCACAATGTACATGTATAGGCGAATGGGAAGGACCGGCTTGTGATGTACCGCCACCATGTGTGGGTAGCTGTGGCGTCTGCCAAACGGGAAGTTCTATAAATGAATGCAAGTAAGTTGGACAAAGAAAATATTTTTAACAACTTATATTTTTAAATTAATTGTGAATATTTTTTATTAAAGATGCGAGGATGGTCTATATACAACATGTTTGGCGGACACTGCCAATGCCCTGAGAAGTGAAACAGAACACTCGGCCAATGTAATGTCAATATTGGCCATTATTTTGGCAATAGCTATTTTAGTACTGGCCCTATTTGGAGCTGGTCTGTACTTTTTGAAGTAAGTGTACTTTTATAATTTATTTATATGGCATACATGTTTTTACCCTCCACGAAAAGGTGGAGTGTATATTCAATTTGTCATTCCGTTTGCAACACATCGGTTTTCGTATACATGTTATTGTTGAACAAATATTAATTATATATTCTTGATTAGGATAAAATTCTACGCATGCCCGTCTGTTTAAATCACAATAGATATGGCAATATTTAAGATAGAGCTTCGAAATTTTGCACACACATTGCTAGTACTCCTAGGTTGCTTGGTATTGGGATATATCGGTCCACGTTTTGGTATAGCCCCCATATAACGGTATTGACCCAAGTTTCAGTGCAGCTTCCATATAACGATCCCCTGCAATATTCGGTATTCTAGGGATTTTGGACACGCTTTTTCACCAAATTGACTATAATTTGTTTTTTTTTGGGTTCTCATTGTGTGTGGGTTCTCCGTACCAAAAATTATTTATATTGACCCAATCTGATTGATTATGCTTTGATCGAATCGATTTTCTTATTTTATGGTCTTTGGATCATAAAATAGAGATTTAAGTTGATGTAGATCAGAAATAAAAACCGATAATTTCTAAAAACGACATCCAGGCGTAATTAAGCTATAAATATGAAACCAATCTCTATTTTTTTTAGAAAACATCGAATATCGCAACCATTTTCCCATGCTCGTCTCACAGAAAATGTGGAAATAATGCTTACAAATCCAATGTATCGAGGCGATGCCGATGAAACGCCGGCCTTTGTGCACGAGGATGATAAGGTAAGCAACCGATGCATTTTATTTAATATTTACAAAATTTAACATTCTATTTTATTCAGGGTAACTTTGCCAATCCCGTATACGAATCAATGTATGCCGATGCGATTGTGGAGCCAGCTGTGGTGCCGGAAAATGTTCTGGCGCCGGATGAACGTAAGGGTCTGCTGCAACATTCACACGATGACAACAATACACCGGATATTCTCTGATGATTAACGTCAAACGAAATACGCTAAGAAGGAGATAAATTTGTATGAAAGTCAAGATGTATTAACGAACAAAAGCAAAACCTAATTGTAACAACAAAGCAAAATAAGAATTTAAGCCATAATTATAGTCATCATTTATATAAGGAAAAAACTATGAGCATAACAACAAATTAACAAAGACAATGTAAATTTTTCCAAACCAAAATCACTATCCTCTAACACTTTCCCCATAAACATAAGAGTAAAGTAAAAACACATAAATTCTCCTGAAAAAAAATTAATGCATTAAACCAAACGAAACGAAAGCATTTCTTAAACAAACGAAAATTATTTTCTATTTCTTGAAAAAAAGGAAACTAAATAAATAAAACGTGAAAAATTAATTATTTAACGCAACAACAAGTAACAAGAAAACAAGGACTGATAGTTTAGTCATTTCTAAAGAAAAAAACAAAAACAACTAAAGCAACAAAAGTAACACTATATAATATTCTTGGACTAATTGCAAGAATATATTTGTATGTGTGTCTGTGTAATATTTTTAATGATTTTTTTCTATATACATATTTAATATTATTTATAATCAACAAATTTTATTTTAAATATTTAATTTTATTGAAATGAAAAGCTTTTTTAGAAAACAAAGGATTGTTTTCACAGTACATCGGGAGAATATTAATGATATGGAAATTTGGATTAAAAACTATAACTCAAAATTTAACAAATTTAGTTAGACTACCTTATTAAGAACATTTGAGAAAAGGAAAATTTGAAATTCATTGCGAAATTATTGAGAATTCCCAAAACATTCCTTTTGAATAGGAAATTCCATTTCCCAATTCCAATGTTTTTAATAGGGGTGATTGTGTTTTCCCTTGAATCTCAATTTTCAAGTTGTTGATATAAATTAAATATTTTTTATTGGAAAGAATTTATATAATTTTTTGCAATGATATATTTGTTTACATGTCCAAAATGATGTTTATAATTGAGTAGTTCTTCTCTAACTTAGTAATTTGTATTTTGTTTCTAATTGACATTAGACGCATTTCAAAGTACGAGGCCTCTTGATTTAGCCCCTAATAATTATGATGGCCTGTGGTATATTCGGTTTCCTGGCAATTAGATCAAATGTCGCTCGGTATGATAAAAACTCTGAATTTTCATAGCGTCATTTTTTCAATAACAATCTCGTTAACTTACCAAATGTCTATATTACCGATATTATTAATCAGCATTTGCAACTATCGATAATTGCCAATATCTCGGGTTTAAAAAGATTTTCTAAATAATTAATAATTTTTATTGTGCCATAAATCATTTATGATTGCTTTTAAATCTGTTCTACATTTCAATGTTTTTATTTATAAAAAGAACAAAAAAATGTGTGCCATTCTCAATCCGCCCATTCTGTATCCAATATAAATTATTTTCTCCATAATGTACTGTGAAAACGACCCTCGATATATATCTCGTGAATAACTATAGTTAATAAATAACAAAAATGAATATTTCTATATATTTAATTTACAATATTCCTTTTTACATTAAATACATATTTGCTATGTATTATTTAATTAAATGTATATGGTATTGTATACTCTCCCCAATGCTCCTCATTTATAACAAACCACATTTTTATATAATTTCATATGTATACTCATATTTATAAAAACAAATAAATAAATAACTAATAAGCCACATTTTTAATTTATATTCAAATTGTAATATAAGCCGACAAAGAACAAGAAAAAATTGAAAATAATAAAAACAACTAATTACGAAATAAACAGAAATGCAATATAAAAAAAGTTTGTTGTTTTTTAATTCTGTGGTTTCTGTGAACAAAGAAAAAAATAAAACCTTTGTAAAACAATGTAAATCTCACCTGGATATAGATGAAAATATTTTATCTTCGTCGCAATTTATTTTTGGTTTTAATCGAAATTTATTCAAATGTGCATTAAACTGTTTAAGCCATAATGTTTCTTTTTATATTTATCGTACGTATCGTTTTTTATATATATTTAATAAACAAAAAAATGAACATGTCTGTATATTGTATTCTAATGTATATGTAGTATATATAAAAATAAATCTATATAATAAAATTTAATAAAGAAAATATTTTAATATTAAGTAATTTTACCTTAAAATAAAACATAAAAATACCAACAAAAGAACAAAGATATTAAACATGCAATTAAAATAACAAAAAGTAAACAAGAATAAATTGCATAACACGAAAATTAACAATTTCAATAAAATTCAATTGTACACATTAATTATAAATATGATGTTTGATTGATATAAATATGAATGAATGGGTGTGAGTGATTTTACTTTGGCATAAAAACATAATTTTTAATGGGAAAGCGATAAAAAAGGACATACGTATTTAAAGAATACAAAGGGATCTTATTTAACATAGTTAAACACTATGTTTTAAGGTTTAAAGTAAAGCGACCATAAGGTGAAATGTCTTAAATTTGTCATCCCGTTTGTAATATTTCTACATCGTTTTAACGATGTCCGCCTGTCTGTCCAAACCACGATAGGTGACAAAAACTTGGATAGATCGGACCAATATTTGGTATAGCCCCAATATAATGCGTATTGAAATCTTCATTCGTTTGGTCCATAAAATCGTTAATCTACCACCAATTTATACCTCACAATAGGTCTTGCAAATTTCATTATTTTCGCATATAAAGTCGTTTATAATCAAACAAATTCGATGAAAATTTGTAGTTTACTTCCAATTAGACCTATAAAGCAAGTGACGAAAACAGGATAGATCAGAACAAAGTTTTGGTATACCACCCATACAATGGGTCTTGAAAAATTCGTTGTTTTGCCCTACAAATCGTTATAATTTGGATAAAGACAGTATTAAGTGTTGCAATTTAGATGTTGGTCAATGTTTCAGAACATATACCATTTAGTATCATCCGTGTTATTATTTAGGACCTTTATTAATTGAAATACTGAATAAAATCCTTATTTTATAAGTATAATCTTCAAACCGACCAAATATAATTCAAAAAGCTATATTTTAAAACTAATTTTACTATATCTCCTCTTCTTATAACATTTTATACAAGTAATTTCCAATTTTGTGTAAAATATTGTATGATTAGTGTGTTCTGAATTATTTGCCTCTCAATATTTGGAATGCAAAACATATTCGATCCTTAACTTCTAACTATTTCATGAATATGTCATATTTATACCCTACATAACTATATATTGTCAGGGTATTATAGCTTTGTGTAGCCCAAAGGTTTGTAATGCCACGAAATATTGGTCCTAGACCAACATGTAATGCCACGAAATATTGGTCCTAGACCAACATGTCTAGATATTGCATATAGATCCGGTTCTAGTCTAATAAGACCAAAAACATTATATTTGTCTGGTTTTTTGGTCGCTCTAGAGGCCACAATTTTTACCCATAGAATAAGAAAAACTGTTTTGATGAAGATCGGCCAATATTTAGCTGGTCAAACTCAGACTTTTATTGAAAAAATTACAAAATTCATATTCTGTTTTGATGAAGATCGGCCAATATTTAGCTGGTCAAACTCAGACTTTTATTGGAAAAATTACAAAATTCATATTCTGGGCCGTATTTATTTACTCCTGAAAGACATATACCCGAGAAGTTGATAGTATATCCAAGAGAATTGGTTGACCTTTGCTGTCTATGTGTTATGATATTGTTCAATATTTCTATTGCCTCACTAGAGGGCGTAGCGCTGATTGCTTTAAAATTTCACATGTAGTTCCGGTTAAGGACAACTCCTATAATTTTCGGTGCCGTTGAGGTGATATTTAAAGGGTGTAATGAACCGAAACCTATATTTTTATCTGATTTTCTAGTTGCTCTAGAACATATTCAGAACAATACATATTTTACACGGTGAAAGGGATCTACTAATAAAGGCTGTTTATATGATGATCGGTCGATATTCCGAGGATCAAATAATCCAAAACCCAAAATGACCAAATTTTTGTTTTATGGCGTAAATATTCACTTCGGAAAAAATGAAAATAAGCAGGGCTAGAAAGTGGAGCTGTTGACTTATGTTGCGGGAGGTTAACTATAATCAATAGAGCACCAAACGACTGTCATGCCAATGTGAGTACCCTATGGTATTCCATTACAAGCTGTCGGTCTCAGAAAAAAAAAACACATTGAGTTGATTATTGCCAAAACAATGACATTACCCTTAGCCAGTATCATCACCTGAAATAGAAGGATGAAGTTTAATTTTATATATTTATAAAATACTTGGTGTACTTACGAGTGCTGCTATTGTGAATGATCGAGCTGCGAATAGCGACAATCAAAACAAACAGGCAGCCACTTACACACACACTCACAGCACAAGCTCTTTCAGGCATATTGTTGTTCATTGGAATGCGTGTATGGTTCACTAGCTGAGATGTTGGTAGTGTTGGGCAAATGCCAAGCCAACATACGGCAATGATTCTGTTTTTTTCAATTTTTTTCAGCACAATAAATTTAAAAACACAAGGAATAATATTTCCAAAAAAAGAATGCGTTTGATCGTTTTGATGGCTTCTGATAGGTTGACTTAGTACCGGTGAGTTGACAGCAAATGAAATGTCAAAAGTAATAATGTGAGATCACACGGTACTAAATTGTACAAGGAGGTGCCATCCATTCAAGGTTGCCATCTCCGAAGCCAATATGTAAAATAACCGTAAGGAAATAAAACAACAAGGGCATTTGAAAAAAAGAGAGAATTCTATATGATAAATTAGTAAATATAAAAAGAAATTTTTGGAAGAAAATGGCCCGAGTATAAAAAGGGAGATTCATGGGAAATCATCCAGTTTGGCAATATTATCGTTCAGGTGTGGATGAAAAAGAAAAACTAACAAGTAAAAGTTAACCAAATATGATATTGTGAAGAGACAAATTTTCTTTTGACTAAAAACAAGTGAAGTTAAAAATTAAAAAGTAAGTGGATTTGTTGACTAATAGAAAGCATCATAAATGCTAGGTTCTGGCGAAGTAAAAAATTAACAAAAAATTGTGTATTCCCCTTAA